CCCAACTCTTTAATTCAAACAATTATGAATCTTTAACAGTATAAAGAAAATATTCTGATACGTAATAAATTATTTTTTTACTGCTCAAATTCGCCCTGAAAATCAATTTAAAATAGAAAATGGATTGCTTTTGGAAGTTGATTTATTTTTTATTTTATAACCCTTATTAATTTTATTTTTTTAGGATGAATTGAAGCTGCAAAGATATTTAAAAAATTTTTCTTTTATTATTTACCAAAAAAAAAATAAAATGGAACAAAATTTTGTAACAAAAAAAATTTCTTTTAATATATTTATCGATTAGAAAACTTATTAATTGTTTAAAGAATTATAAGAAAATAAAAATAGAAAAAATTATATGTTCAATAAATTCTTAATTTATATATTCTCGATGGAAGTTTTTTAATCAGTACATCTCATAAAAAATGAGTTTTCTATATAAAATTGTCTTTTATTCTTTATTTCCTATTTTTGTAAAAAAAAATAAAACAAAACCAAGTAGATCAACTTCCAAGAGTTGGTTTTATTTCTCCAGGATAAATTCTGGCAGCAAAAAAATTATATATCAAGATATCTTTTATGTATTGCCAAAATTTTATATTTTTTTAAATTTCTGAATTAGGAATTTCTTTCCTTTATTCTTATTATTTTGCGCATAAAAATATTAGAATAAGATAATCAGAAGGTCAATACTTTGTCAGATTTTACATATTTTATGTTATAAAAATACCTTATTTTAAATGTATCATGACATTTTCCAACACAGTTTTTGTAACATTAACTAATATCAAGTTAATATTTTGATTAGAATAAAAAGTTTGATGACGTTCTTGTACATGAAAGATTAAATTTAATTTTATTATATGCAAACTGATAAGAAAATCGATTTGTGCTTAAAAAAAAAGTATGATTCCATTTTAAAAAAATTGATTGTATATTGCAAGTGTATCAATATATTATGCAAAAAAATATATTTGCAGAATGATAGACTAAATATTTAAAAATGTTCCTCTATCTTTTTTTTTTATCTTAGAAAAGAACTACAATTCAGCCAAAATATTAGAATCCCTATTACACTCTTAAATCTTTAGATCCAAAAGTATTGCTTGTATTAGCATTTTACAAGTTTGCTATTAAACTTTTTTATTCTACGTGATATATAAGCATGAACTGCACTTGATTATTATATTGATGTCTTATACACTTGATTATATTTGTTGAGAGTGGTGTTATTGTGTTTAATTTTTTATATGCGTTTCTATGTGATATATGAAACAAAACTATTATTTAACATAATTACAATAATTATTATTTCTTTTTTTAATCTTCTCTCAGAGTACTGGACGCGGTGTAATACAACGTGTTGGTGAAAAAGGTGACAGTGCAGCAATTGGACAGATAGGCAGAGGCGTAGAAAGACTAGGAATTCAACCTACTGGTAATTTTATTGTTATTTTTATATTTAATGTTGTACACAATAGATATATTTGACATTATTACAAATAAAAAATTTTTCTATACTTTAATTCTTTTCAGATGTAAAATTGATAATTATACATTAGATTATACATAATAATTATAAATAAGATTTTTATTCAGTTTTACTTTTTTTTATTTAATATGAAGATTAGTACATTGACACAGACGTTGGTACATACATTTTTATATTATATAAATGCAGGATTGGATAACAATTAGTTAAAAGTTATAAAAAGTAGTAATTTTTAACTTACTTAATTTAAAATAAGTATTAACTTTAACTAGTTCCTTTTAAAATACATTAACTTATTAATATTTTTTTTAAGGTAACATGTTTTATCTTTAAGTACTAATAATTTTTCTATAAAATTTTAAACATTAAAAAATTAGAGCTCTAAAAAAAGTTTAATGATCATAATGGACGCGACGCTTGCAATGCCGAAAAGTGAACAGAAATTGACAAACGTAGGATATATTTCATTTAACGCATAATGTATAATTTATATTTGTTTTACAAATTTGTTTTGTCTTTGATGAACAAAAATGAACGCATCATGTGCATTATGCATAAAACACCCTTATTTTGCATTCCAGGAGCGCTATCAGCATTATAAATAAAATGACAATAACGCTGATAGCAACAATAGTACGCTTCCCGAAATCCCGAATGCAACCTTATTGTTAGTAACATGGAAAGTTTTGTTTATATTAAAACAAATCAAATATTAAAATTTAATCTAAATTGTAATCGTTTTGTTATTAGACTTAGATTTAGAATGCTTTTAATTTAAAAGACTGGTATTCTAATTTAATATAAATAAAATATTAAGCTTTGAAAATAATTTAACTTGAATTAATTTAATCCTAACTTCAACTAAGTTTTTGTTCCTGCAACTTTTAACGTAACTAAATTAATTTTATAAGCTATTAACTTAATTTAATTTTAAAAAAATTAACTTAATTCTGTATAAATGAAATAAGTGTATGTGTATGCTCTTTATGACACAATTTTTTAGATATAATTTATGACTTTCATACACATATTTTTGTAATTGAAATTTTTTAGAAATTTGTGCTGTTATAGACATATTTTTTGATTTGCATAATTTCAACATATTTTTCTTTTGATGTTAAATGAAGAATATTTTTTGTGTAAGCTGGTGGCAGTGGAGATGCTGGTGCCGGTTCATCTACAGGTGCTGTGGCTGTTGTATCATCAGGAAGAGGTGCTGCCCGGGGCAAAAGAATCTTGCCGGCAGATATCTTTATTTCAAAGCCAAGCCATATACAGAATAAGAAAGGTGAGCAATAATATTACGCTTGTAACTCTTGCTCGAACACTCGTTACATTTCCGCACAAAGATAATAAAGGCACTACATTCACGATGCGGCTTATTCCAAATTCCCGTTTGAACAGGCCTACCTCAGCACGGGATGCAACACTTTAATAAATTATCTAATTTATTAATTTAGTAAACTGCAAACTGAATTTATTTTAGCTGTTTAATATATCTCTTTAAATTCTTGTGCATTTAATTCTTAAAAAAAAATTGTTATTTTAATTATTTATATTTATTCTTTTTATTTTTACTTTTACATTTATTCTCCATAAGTTTCTCGACAATCGTACTTCTGAAACATTGCACTTGATACCAATATTAACACACGTGCATGATGTAAACAAGAATTTTATATACAGTGTGTTTTACTTTAAATGATTATCTTGAAAATAAGCATTATTGGGAAAAATGTTTCAAACAAAAATTATGGGTCTGAAGGGCGAAACATAATGGTAAAATCATTTTCGAAAAAATCAATAATAAATCTTTAAAAAATTTTACACAGACTCGAATGACTGACGTTACTTATGTTAGAGAGTTTATTCTTGAATTTAATCTTAACAATCAGACAGTGAACTCTTATAGCTTCTGAGATATTTAAAATTAAACCTGAGGTAAAACTCCTATTTAGGGGAAATATCTCTAATGACATATGTTGTGAAGGTCATAACTCTAACAAGTAACATTTCTCATTGCGCCGCCTTTATTTTGGCTTATGTAGCGTTTCTTATTTAGTATTTGCAATGTAAAAACACAAGAAAAAGAATTATATGCTGAGTGAACCAAAGTTATGGTGAATCGTATTTTTTCAGTAAAAATTGGAAAGTCTAAATCTTTACATAATCTCACCAAAAATCTAATTTTTGATTGAATTTAAAGTATTTCATACAAATTTTATACCAAATAAAATAAGTAAAAAGATATTTTATTAATTTTTTAATCAAATTTTATTTTCAAATTGTATATTTTCTGTCTTCTACAAGGTTATTGTGACAACTGTAAAAATAGCACGTTATATTAGAATTTTTCTGAGAAATTTTACTTCTATGTATTCCTTATAGTAATGTATCAACTACATATTATGGTAACTATTACGTATTGCCTATTTGATAATTTGATATAGTTTCATTTTTTTTAGATGAAAGAGTCTTATATAATAATATAATCAATTTTTTGGCTATTTAATCAATAGTATTGTTCACAGAAGTGAAAACCATAATTTCTTTCAAAGTAAAGATAATTAATATAAAAGATAAGAGATAAAATAAAAATATTTATTACACTATGCACATCTTATAAAACATAGTTTTTAAGTGCAAAGTGCGCAATGGTTTCAAAATTGAATAAGCATCAAAGCAAAATTCATTTCGATTGTCAAACCAAGAAACTGCAAAATCATCATTTTCTTCTTTATTTTGATTTTTAAAATGATGATTTTTTTCTTGGTTTGACATTCTAAATGAATTTTGCTTAACAATAAAATAAAATTTAATTTAAAAAAACAAAAGATTTGTTTTACTTGCTCATTATTTGGATATAAAATTTCTATGCAATATTTTATATTCAATAAAAAATGAGATTTTTGGTGATGTTTACTCGATTTATATGAAGATTTATAGATTTGCCGATTTATAGATTTTTACTGAAAAAATACAATTCACCATAACTTTAGTTTACTCAGCACATAATTTCTTTCTTTTGTGTTTCTACATTGCTAATATTAAATAAAAAATGCTACATGAGCCAAATTGAATGTTAGTCCAATGAGAAATGTTACTTGTAACATTTAAAAAGTTTTAACCGTCGCTTATTATTCATTAAAAAGTTATTAAAATAAATTTCATTATATTTAAAAAGTTAAACACATGATTGCCACAAAACTGGAAATCAAGGAAAAATCAGGGAAATTGAAAACGGTCATGAAAATCAAGAAAAAGTAAGGGAATTTTACAAAATTTTCTGGAAAATTAAAATTCTTGGCTTTTTAAAGAAGTTTAATATAAGTATATTACACTACTTATACAGTTTTGTTAGCAAATATAAATTCTCTTTTTAAAGATTTAAAATGCTTTATTAAGAACATTAGAATTTTTAATCTTTTAGAAGTAGAATTTTCATTATCCACTTTTTGTTGGAATTTTAAATTTATTTAACCCGTAAACGTCTCTTTGAATGGTTTTGTTAACACGAAGTTTTGAAAACAATTACGTTCTTTTTTCAAAAATTTAATATTATCAATCGATTGGTCAGAAAATTTTATATTGAGAAACACATTTTGTTTTTTCTTTTCATAAGATGTAAAACTTTATTTAAACGCTTGGTGCAAATTCGTACCCAGGTGTCCTTTACGAGTTAAACACTTTTTTTAACTTGTAAGTTTCTTGTATCACTTGTGAACAAATTAATAAAATTAAAATTAACTTCATATTTTTGTAATTTTTTTTTAAGTCTAAACCTTTGTATAATAGCAAATCGGAGATTCCAATAAACAGGATATAGTTCCTTTTTTATCAAAAAGAAACTATATTTACACATGTTCCTTGTAGGCAAAGGAAAAGAATTGTTCGCATATCTATCTAGAAGATAAAGATAAAGGAATACTAACAACTTAACAATTAAATGCAAGCAATATTAACGACGGTATTAGTAATTTACATTGCTATGTTAAATTGCTCTCTCAACAGAATATTTAACGGTTTCCAAATAGTTTCCAAATCAAGACGAACATACAAAAGAATTTTTTAATATTATTGAAAGTTAGGAAAAATCATGAAATTTTGGAAAGTAAGGAAAAGTCGTGGAATTTTAGATTGAAGAATTTGTGACAATGAATCATGCTAAGTCGTAAATCCTCGCTTTGCATTGCAAAATTTATGTGAGAATAGTGGATTCCGCTTCTCTTTTCTACGAAGAGTTCCGAAAAAACTGACCTAACCCAAATATCTCATTTTTGCGTAGAAACCCAAATGTGGAATCTCGCTTTGTATGAATTTACAACATTTCATGCGAAACGACATTTTATACGGGTCTCTCAACTTTCCGAAAGTAATAAATTGAGTTAGTTTTTCCGGAGTAGACCTGCCCTTCTTGCAGTAACAGGTACGGAATCTACTGCATCCACGTATATACTTTACGTTTGACGGGAAAGGGACTCTTCTATACTAAATAATTATCAAAGTTAACTTTATTTTTTACTACTTCTGAGTATATGTGTGTTACAAGAGAATATTCTAAGACATTTTACAATTTTTTATTTTAGTTTTAGTTACCTATATCTTTAAATATTTATACCTTTAACTTTAAATATTTAAAAAACTATAAGAATCCGCCACCTATGTAGTTGTTAAGGCTAAGTTACTCAAGAATGAATCCTTTAAGTTATTCAAGAATGAACATATCAAGGTCAAGATCATATGAATTGTATAAGTTTTCCTAAAGATTTATCGATTATTTTTTAATTATTTTGAATATTAAAAAAAGGTATTATAAGGGAATGCTGAGCACGACAATAAAACGGACTTTTCAATTTCAAATAAAATATCGATAATAGTAGTATCTTTAAATCAATTTCTTATAATGTCGTTCTGTCTTATTCAAACGTATACATTTGTCTTTATCTAACATATTGCAGCGCCATTTTTTGCAAAATCCGGCACTTAAGCTAGATGCACACAGAACGCGGCAACGCGTCCATATTACAAACTGCATAATTTTTTAAAATATAGTAAACTATTTTTTTAAATATCTAGCAAAGTATTAAGATTTTTAAAAATTTTATTTTAATACTTTTATGTAAAATAATTATATGTAAAAAAAAAATTTACAATTTTATTTTAAAAAATGACGATCTTTATATGATCTTGAAAAAGGTTTTTTTCCCAAAAATTAATTTTACTATTTGTCCTTCAAACCATACAATTTTTATCTGAAACATTTTTTTCCGAACTTGTTTTTAAGATAATCTACATCTTAACACTCTGTATATATAATTTTTATTTTAGTTTACTTAAAAATTATATTTTTGTATATTGTATATTTTCAGGCACATCTGGCACTCATAAAACGATAAAGGTGAATTACTTCAAATTGCTTAAGGCGACTGATTGGGCTCTCTATCAGTATCGTGTAGATTTTGCGCCCGAAGAAGATCGTACAATTGTACGTAAAGGCTTACTTAAATTACATCAAAAGAGTATTGGCGCATATATTTTTGATGGCACCGTGATGTATACAAGTCACCGATTACAAGATGTAAGTAAATACGCGGCTTTGTACGGTACAATCTACATCTCTTGTGGATGTCGCTTATGTATGTTTTCAAGCATTTAAGTATAATTGTAATATTTTTAGCAAATGGTATTTACTTCAACTCGGCAATCTGATGAGCAGCATATAACAATTACCGTTCGTCTCGTGAGTGATCTGCTGGTAGGAGATGCTCATTACATTCAGTTCTTTAACATAATTATGAGGAAATGTTATGAACATCTGAAACTAAAATTGGTCGGTCGCAATTATTTCGATCCTGACGCTAAAGTAAGTACATTTGTAACAGATTGCTGTGTTCAAAGGAAAACATCTGTGTTCACAAAATAATTCTCCATCATGTTAATATAGATGTCCTTGCCGGAATACAAATTGGAATTGTGGCCGGGATACTTATCATCTATTCGACAACACGAGCGAGATATATTAATGTGTGTCGAGATAACAAATAAAGTTATGCGATTGGAAACCTTGGGAGACATCCTGAATAATTATTACCAAAGTTCTCCTGAGAGATATAGAGTAAGTTATATTTTCTCTTAAAAAGGACTTAAACTTTTACTAGAATTCTCCTGTGAACATAACTCTTCTATCTTTTCTTTCAAGAAAGGTTTAAGGCAATGTTACATTATTGCGGTTTCCTTATTGTAACCATACTTGAATTAAATTCGATCGCACTATTTCTTGAAATAATTCAGGATCCAAAAGAAGAAAAAACTATAAAGACATAGGTCCGGAAACGAGTTGTTTCCTAGTTATAGTTACTCTTATGTTAAAAAAATTGTTATTTAATTTTAATAGCCCTAATTATAATCATAATTTATTATGATTATTATAACGATTATTTACGATTTCTTAACATAAAGATGTGACTATAGTTCAGAAACAACTCCATTTCTGGATCTATGTTTATATAGCTTTTTGAGTCCCGAATCAAGAAGCAGAGCAGGCGAATTTTCAAACATTATGTATATTGTTTTATTTTATTTTTAATTTTATTATAATTATTTGTAATAACGTTCTTAAGTTTTCTCGGACTAGGTCGGGAGCACATGAAATGCATAACATAAGACCGCTGGATTAATGAGAATTTCATGTAAATCAATATGGTGATTTTATGCTGGATGCTCATTGGTTCAGCGGTCTTATGCTTGTGCAGGTTATGCATTTCATGTGCTCCCGGCCTTATATTACAAAAATTTATGAATTCTCGAGTTACATTACAAAAATGAATGTATGCCTGTAGGACAATTTTTGTAACACTGTGATTGGTACAGTAGTTCTTACCGGTTATAACAACAATACATATCGCATTGAGGACGTAGATTTCTCAACTACTCCTAGTGACACGTTTCCTTTGAAAAATGGCGATAAAATAACATATATAGACTATTACCAAAGGAAATACGGAATCAGGATTAGGAATGCTAAACACCCAATGCTTGTGACGAGATCCAAGCCAAAAAATCGACAAGCTGAAGAAGGGGATCGTGTTTATTTAGTGCCCGAATTATGTCGGGCGACAGGTGCGTTATACTATTGTTTTATTGGTAACTTTTGCAGCTAAATTTAAAATTTATTATTTGTTGTTTATATATTCTCTTCGAATTTAATAGTAAAGAAATTTGTTTTCTTTATTACTACATATTTTGTGAAGTTGTATTTTCTGCCTATTTGTTATTTCTATTGTGATACTATTGTATTTGCAGGTTTAACTGATTCCATGAGAGAAAATTTTAGACTTATGGCAAGTTTGGCTCAGAAAACACGTCTTAAACCTGACATGCGTATTAAGATGTTATTGAACTTTAATCAAAGACTTCACAATGAACGTGCTGTCAAGCAAGAATTTTCCGAGTGGAATTTGCAACTAGATAACAGGTTGCTCGACATTCCTGCGCGGCAGTTAGAGGCAGAAAAAATATATTTCGGCGGACAAACAAATATGTGTGCCGTTTCCGATGATGGCGATTGGACAAAAATTATGATAAATAAGACATGTGTAATTTCTCCAATATTGAAAGAATGGGTTTTCTTGATTTCGGAAAGGGATAAGCATTTGGCGGAGGTATTATACCAGATCTTTACTGAATAATGCTACGACTTTATACATATATACATATATATATACATACACATATATATATATATAT